GTCGTGGCGAGCAGAATGGGATGAGTTACGATTGGCAAGGGGTGTGGGGACGGGTGTAGCGACACAAACAAATTTATTTGGACTTTTTAACAACTTTTGTCTGTGTATTGGAGCATCACTTCAGCAGTCTGCTGCACCCCCTGTAGCCCCTCCCCCACACTATTAACCCTGGTAGCCTTCACAACAGTCTGCATATTTTTTATGTGCATATTTGTTGTAGTAGTTGTTGTTGTTTTTATTGCTGTTGTTGTCGCCTGACACATGTTCATTGTGCGAAAGTAAAGTTGAAAGCGTTTGGGGAAATGTATGGGGGAGCGCAGGTTTTCAGCAGGTTGGTAGGTAGTTAATAAAAGTAGGAGCTGGTGAGAGGGATACAAAGCATGGAGGAGGTAGCTTTTTAAAATTTTTGCTTTAGGGCCCACAAGGCCATGTGATGGGTTCCACCTCGATCATGAGCTTGAGCCTGAGCCTCGCCACAAGTAAAAATTACTAAATGGCACTTTTGCTGATTGCGTGTCCGTAACTCGCAGCAAGGCCTAACCCCAAGCTCACCACCACCCCCCTGCAGGGTCTTCGTTGAGTTAAGTTTGCTGAGCGTTGAGTTCAGCTAAATGTTAGCATGTTTTGAAAATTTCTGCAAGTTGACAACAATTTCAAGTGGCATTTAGTTAAGTGGCAATTGCTGTAAGTGTAGGAGGGCCTGGGCGCAACCGCCAAGGGTTGAAAGAGGCGGTTGAGCAGGTGTTTTCGGTTACACAACTGTTGCATGCTGTGGTTGCAGCTCCTGCAACCATTAAGTCGCCAGCTCGTGTGGAAACATGTTGCTAGCAAGTGCGGAACGAAATGGAACTGGAACCGCATTCCTCTCTCTGTCTGTCGCTTTCGCTCCCGCCTTGGCTTGGCAACAAAACAATGTTAGCATTTGTTTTACATGACAAAACATGTCCAACGACAACAAGAGGTTCTTAAGGGGTTGCCGAAGGGGGGCTTTTACAATAAATTAGAGCGTCAAGTGACCTACAAAAGCAAAGGAAAACCAAGTGCAAGTCACATAAATAAGACAGACAATATATTTTGTGTGTGTGTGTGTGTATTTTGTGAAGTTAAGAAGAGTGGCGGAAATGCGTTTCATAATTATGAAATGTGAGACAAGCTGAAAGACACATAAATTAGGCCAAATGAGCTTAATAGGCACAGCTTATTTATAGATGATGCGAAACGCTGATTAACGCGATATTTGTCATATCAATTAGCCACAAAAGACACAAGAAAGCCCTCTCGTGCCTAACCTACGACAATAGCGATAAACTTAGTGCATGGTTTGTTTGTTTGTCTTTGTTGTTGCTTTTTTTTAATTTGGCATTGGCGGGCAACATACGAAGCTTACGCGCTCACTTAGCAACATGTTGCCAAGGCAAGGCTGCTCTCTGGACTCATAAACCGCGACGGCGCACAAAGCCAAACATCGTTCGGCTCCAGCTTCGTGCGCATTCGTAACTCCATGCCAGGCTTCGTGAACGCGCGCAACGCTTCGTGTTCAACTAACGCTCCTCGTGATTTCAAAGTGTAACAAAACTCAAATGGCAATTCAGTTGGTAAGAAGAATCCTGCGGCAACGGGTGGCGAAGCGGACGAGCAGCCGAAACAGAAAACAGTGCGCGTTGCGAAGTGAATTTTGAAGAATTCGAAGCGCGAGTTTTTAGCCATCGCATTCGAATAGCGTGCAACGAATAAAGTCGCGAACGCGGCTATTCTGTGAAAGTGCAAAACAAAATAAAAGAAAAACCATTAAATTGTAAGGCCATTGCTTTGTAATTACCGCGACCATCACATGAAAGCGAGAACCAGAATTGTGTGCAATTATGCAAATGGCAACGAGCGCTAGGCCAGGCGGCAAGTGTTGATGGCAGCCCCAGCACCAGCACCAGCACCAACATCATCGCCAACGCCAACACCAACACCAACGGCGAAGGTGACGCCGTTGCCTCAAGTGCAACTGTTGCAACTGCAGAGGCTTGCATTTGTGGCCCCGTGCGTGCGACGACCTTGCGCACAACCCTTGCCGACACATTTCACGCCCGTGGCCCCATGTCTATGCATATTCATGCGGCAAGCAGCAATCTGGGGCAACAACAGCAGCAATAGCAAAGTTGCAATGCTGGCAATAGAAATTTCAGCTCAATTTAAAGCGCTGCACAACTATTCGAGTGCAGCCACCCGGCAAACCAAAACTAGAACGAATTCACTTTCAAAACTTTCACAACAGCAGAGTCCCTTCGGCACGTTCCCGAAAGGGGAGAGCTGAAGAATCAGCACTATCCCTATTTAATAGTTTGTGCGAGAATCGTTCAAGTTGAAACCCATGTGAAATATTCCAAGAAGAAAAATAAAACCAAAATCATTCAAAGCGTATTTTTCAAGGCAACTTATTCAATCAACTTTTTGAGTCCACAACTTACCTTTATGGCTTGTCACCTCATCTTTTATAATAAAACCCTTTCTGTGCCAGTTTAGCTAAAAAAGTGCAAAATCGGCAACAGTTGCTAAGTTTTTTTATATTATCAAAAACAATTGTAGTTATAAGCTCGTTAAATGTTTGCGTTGGGACATACTTTGAGTTTCAGTCTGTTTTACTCGAGTCGGGAACCTTATAAGAAAGTCCAAAAGAATTTATAAGATAGAAACCATCACCAAAATCCATACATCACAAAATAATATATGGAGAAGGGTTGCTTAACTTCACTTCATTCCATATGTTGTGAACTGATCTTTTGTGATCGTATTTGTGAATGTTTTGCGGTCTATAGTTGTTCTTTGTAACAATATTTCTACATTCCGTCGGAGCTTGTTGAGATAGTGATGATGCTTGTGCAAATATGTATTCGTGCTCTAAGCATTGTGAAGCAAATTTATACGAAAAATGCGGTTGCTACTTCCCAGCTGACTAGAATTCATTAATAATGTAAAATCATTTTAAGTAACAGGTTCGATAATTGAGCACTGCATCGAAAATGTTGTTTGCAATAAAAGCTATAAAATAAAACATTCTTGAATTAAACTATGTATATAGGACACATGCAACTTAGCGATAATATTGCGTTTTAGAATTGTCCAGCATGATAAATGCTCATAGGATATTCATTGTTGTTGGCCAGGTGGCACATATATATTTGCCTGTGTGTCCCACTTACCTTAGTCAGCTGGCCAGGCGACATACTCGTACATATACTATATCTACGTATATGTATATATTTTAGTCTCATTTTTTTGGGCACATCGCCAAAGTGAAAGCTGCAATGTCCTTAGCGTGCTTGCTATGTTGCTTTTCTTGCCCGGCAGCCATGTCAGTCGCATCAGTTTTTGTTGAACGTCCAACGTTACCGCCGCTACCTCCGCCGCCTTTACCGCATCCGCTCATCTGTCAAATCCTTATAATTTCTTGTGCTTTCGCTTTCCTTGGCAACTTTTTGTGCTATGTGAGTTAGCCAGTTGTTGCTGCTGCTGCTGCTGCTTCTGCCGCCTTTGTCGTTCCTGTTTTGTGTGTGGCAGCAACAGTAACTGCTCCATTCACTGCGCAAATAAAATTCAAATAAATTACTTTTATTATTCCACAGTGACAGCTGATTTTCGTCTTATTTTTACGACTTGGCGCAGTTTTTTGCACCAGCCATGTTTATTCTCTTATTATTTTGCTTTTGCATTTCTGGACAAATTAAAAGCAACTGCCAGCCGCAGTCATTCAAATTGATTTCCATTGCTGGACTTTAAATAAAGTGCAGGGCCCACTGGCTCTCTCAGATTCAGAGACGAAGCATGGGTAATTGGTAACTTAGACGCGACTAAGCCCTGGTGCGGCTTTGACTTAGCTAATAAGTCACAAGCACGCAACAATTAGACATACACACACACATTCCTACATACAAGTATACGTATACCCATACACATGTAGAGAAAGTGACAGGAGCCAGCGGCGAGACTGCTGAGCTCTCGACAGGCCTACTGTCATGTCTGGCCGTATATTACGAGACTGTAAACATGAATAAGACATTAGTATACGTTAAACATGTGTAGAAAATGCCACACCAAGCACACACACACACTTATAAGGTGACCTATCACACATATTCGCATATAAAAGCACATAGAGCTGCTTTGCAAGTTATTATTATTTACAAAATATGTTAATTTAATATGAAAGTACGTAATGGGGCGTCTGTCAAGATATTTGGGTTAAGTCTAAATTGAAATTGCGTATGCAATGTTGCCTTTTACCTAACTATACCACTACCTTTGTGTATGTGTGTGTGTGCGTGTTTGTGTGTGTGAGTTTACTTAACTATTCATAGCGTTGAGCTTTGAGCAGCAATATCATTGCATTTTACATGAGTCTCCGTTAAATCCTCTGTGTGTCTATGTTTTGGCCACTTTATTAATTAAAACATTTAATTACAGTGCAGTGAATGCTCTGACAGTGCATATGGAAGAGTTAAGTATTAAAGCAAATTAATTTTGTACAATTAATTTAAAAAGCAAACCAAAGCAAACCAAACCAAACCAAACCAAAATCCAATGCATACAAATTAAATGTTCAAGTGTGCGCCTGTAAGTAGGCAGCAAAAAATGTACAAAAGCACAATTTAATGCGCAAACATGCAACAGCAGCAACAACAGCAACAACAATGCTTTCAACGGCAACACCAACACCAACACCAGCAATTTTAATAAAATGCGTGCGTTCAATAAAAATTATATTCACGATTTAACATTAAAATGCCATTTGAGCGACGCGATCAGTGCTTGTAAAACTGTGCGGATTAATATTTGTAAATATAATTGAAAAGCAGCTGCAATTGCGAAAACAACCCAACTCAACCAACGTACGAACAAACAAAAAACAAGCAAACAAACAGAGAAACAAATAAATAAATAAACCAACGACCAACGAGCAGATACACTCTCAACAGAGCCAGCAATTACAACAACAGCAGCGTTGCAGCAACAAAACAAATATGGCGACCATAAAGCTGCTCATTATCGGTAAGTTTTATCTCACAATTAAACAGCACGTACAACAACACAACACAACGAAACGCAGCGCACCGCAACAACAACAACAACAATAACGACAATGTCAGCTGCAACAACAATAGTGAGGGAAAATCGTTGAAGCAGCTGCAACTACGTTTGTTTGCCTCACAATTTTATTTCAGGTTGCTTTTTTCTCCTCTTTTTTCTTGCTTTATTTTATGTGCGCTTTGGGAAATTTCCGCGCACAACAAAGGCTCACAGCTCGCTCTGATGAGGCATATATATACATATATACAATTTATATACATATATATATGTGGGGACGTGCTTATAAACAAGCATGTTCGAGAATCATGCTGCAGCTACTTATAAGGGCAACCCTCCAATTGGTCGATGCTTCTGCTGACCAACTGGCTATACGAGTATAGTCAGAAGAATATACAATTTTTGTTAACAATTCGTTCAGTCTGAGTACTCGCTCTGGGCTTAATAAATTTTGCTTTTATTAGGCAACACCCACACACACACGGGCATATGAACTAGCAGCAATGGAATATAAACATAATTTTTATAACCAAAGCGGGCGCAAAGTTTTGCATAACAAACGAAAGCCGTTAAAATGCGTGACGACAATGCCGACGATTCAACGACAGGACGGTGGGTGTAAATCAAATTAAATGGGAGAAAGAGTCCCGGGACGGATCTAGAAACACACTAGATTTGAAAAGTAGTTGGACTGAAGCAGGAGATGGCTGGCAATATTCGTGAAAAATCTATGCCATGTCTTATAAATTATGTCGAAAAAACAATCAAATACACAACAATAAAAACACACATCTAACTTAAAATAAAAACCGATTGTGAATGGATGTCTCTTAATGTCAAAGCTCCTAAGTGTTTTCAGACTTCTTCTTGTACGTTAATTTTTGCTTCATTTTGATCAGCTAGATCATTTTGAAGAACTTTTGTTGAATTAATGTTCATGATTTTAATTTGACATTATATTTGGATTTATTTAAAAATAGAAGTGGTATAACACTTGAAGATATTTTGTAAAGCTAAGCTTAGGTTACAGAATATTAATTTGCTTTTTTAATTTTAGAATTGTAATATTTATAAATGACTGAGAGAAGTGTAGTTTGAAAAAAATATCGTGTAAAATTAAAATTTTTCAATAGCATTACATGTGTATGGGTTATTTAATAAGTTAAGTTGCTGTGTAGTTAGCGTAGCCTAAAATTAAAGTAGCAAATAAAAATATCGTAGTTAGTAACAAGTAAAAATATTATACTTTATTTTAGAAGGGAAAAAGATATTCACTTTCATATATTTTGTTAAATGAATATTATTATTTATTTATTCTCTATGTCTTGATTTATTATTATTTTTTGATTAATTGCTTGAATCATTTGTTGTAACGTAATTAATTTACAGGTACAAAAATTATTAAATGTACCCGTATATAAAGAATTCATTTATTAAAATAATGGTCTTTATTAATTCCTGTAGTATTGAAATTTTAAGCTTACCAAAATATTTTCAATATGTTTACTTTACATTTATTAAAATTTTAGATCTCCTATATTAAGATGATTAAGCTTTAAACACATTACACAACAAATGCGCATTACTGTAGAATATTTATGCTTAGAGTGACAACTTGTCAAGTTGGTGCCCACTTGCCTTTGTGTCACTGCTGCTGCTGTTTCGTGCTGCTCCTTGTTGCCAACACAGTCAAGTTGTTGACAGGCACGCAGGCAATAAAATTCAATATTTCATTAAAACGCACGTTACGCATACGCCGCGTAAGCCACACGACGCTAACTACCGTCAGTCGCTCACACTCGCTCTTCATTGAGGGTTGCCTGTTTGGTTCCATAGGCTGGGGCTTGGCTCAGACTCGTATGGTATGATATAGTATGGTATGGTATGGTATAGTCTGGTCTGCTCCAGTATTGCTTGGGCGCATGTTGTTTTTATCACACGCAGCGTGCCGCGTGGATAGCGTCCAGTGCGCTGCCCGAAATCCGATTTCGTGTTATTAGCGCACGCATGAAAAGCTTTTGACTAAGAGGTAGGAGGAGGGTTAGGAAGAGAAGTTGGCAGCTGTGAGCAGGCATTGGCTACAATGTTCTCCGTTTGGAATTGAGTTGCCGTTGACCGCTACCATGGTTGGCAGTGCTGTTCTGCGGCAGTCGCTGCGATTGCGACGCTGACAGATTATATGTTTTATTATTCATAAAGCAATGCGCACATTAGCTGGTCAACTCGGTGCACAGTGGGTTGGGCAATAGAATCGTTATAACGGATTTGAATAGAAACCAGGACAGAAAAAACTGTCCACGAACTCGAAAATTGTAGTTGAAAAAACGGATTGTTTTTACTTCGTTTTTTCCGTCGCTTGGGCATTCCCGCCTCAGAGTCAATCCTACAAAAAAAATGGCAAATCTATTTAAAGAAGCATTTTGCATTCTGAATTAGATACTCAAGATCCATCATTAGATGAAGTATTATTAACAAGAAGAACAAGAAGTAAAACTGTGGTGGGCAATAAGTTGAGAATATACATTCTATATACGTTCTATCTACTTACAGATATACTTTATTGCAGAGGAGAATTAGTTATTGAAATTGATTTTATTTGTCCAGCTAATGTAATCATTAAATTTACAAAGTACGCACTCACTCTCCGACTTTTGTTTTGACAATACTTTTAGAAAATTAATTAAATTGAGCCTACTGTGCAATGCCTCTTGGCGTCGTTCTCTTACTGTACTCCAGTATTCATTTGGATTTATTAATTGCCCCGCACACTGTATTCCTGCGTGTATGTGTTAGAGACTGAGAGGGTGTTTGTGTGGGCAGGAAGTAAATTAATTAGCAAATACTTACTTTAATAATCATTTTAATGGAATTTGTAATTTAATGCGCCTAACGAGAGTTTTATGTGTGATTACGGCAATGGCGACAGACGTCTGCGCCCAGCAACAGAAACTTCACTTCCCCCTTACTCCCCGGCTTATATCATGCCTGATCCGACTATTGATTTTCTAGGCTGTCTGCCGCTGCTCTTCTATTGCTACTGTTGCTGCTGCTGCTGTGAGGCAGCCACCGCACAACAACCACAATTTGTTTAAGCGGATTTAAATATTTCAACATGCCATGTTAATTGCGAATGGGGCGCGATCGAAAAGTGAACAACGGAGGCGCTCGGTCAGTCAACTTTTATGCAACGCCCAAACTGCGTGACTGTCAATCGCTTTATATCGCTTTTATGTCATATCATTGATAGGCGACAGACGACGACGATGGCTTAAGTGCGGGCGAAGGCATAAAAGCTAAATAGGCATGGCCATAAAACACAATACTCGTACAAATGACAGAAGTGGCCATTATGTGAGTTTAGCGTGTACTTGAAAATAATTACGCTAAAATTTTCGTGCGGTTTACAATTTTACGAGACCATTATATGGGCTATGCTAAATAGCAAAAAGAGGAAGAAAAAAAAAACAACAACAAGAAATGAAGAAATCAGAACAAAGAATAATTTGGCAATAAATTTAAGCTTTCAATTATATGGCGATAAGCTGCACGTAGCTAGAGCTCTATGCTAAAAATACGCAGTAGAGACGCTTAAGTGAATGACAGTCGAGAGCAGAAAAGAGAAGAGAAGAGAAGAGAAGAGAAGAGAGAGTGAAATGGAAGAGAGATAGCAGTGAAAGGAAAATGAATCTGAGCCACGCTGAGCTGACATTGTGAAAATATTTGGGCACTTGCTTAAAAGCATGACAAAGTTTTGAGCGCTTGCTTGTGCGTCTGCATGCATATGTGTGGCTTAGCTCAACTGCAAACTAAACTCACACACGGCACAAAATTTGCTTAAACTTAAATGCATAAAGTTGTGGCAAAGGGAAACAGCCGAAAAGAAGCTGAAACGCATGAATGATAAACGTGGCAAGTGCTTAAAGAGTTGTCATAATTTCATAAGACCGTGTGCAAGTTTATGTTTGTGTGTTATCTTTTAATTAAACATGAAAGTGAGTTGCAAAGTAAATTTGCAGACACACACACACACACACACAGGCATACAGAGCGAGGAAGACCAACAAACAAAGTCGCCAAGCAACAAAATCGATTTAAGCAAAGCTCTGCCAAAAATCTGCATGCAAACATTCATGCATATGCTAAAAGAGACATACACACACACACACACATGCACACTCATACGTCAACTCAACTGCAAAAGCAGAAAAAACCAAAAAAGGACTCAACAAAACTTTCATACTTTCTTGTAGCATACTTTTGAGCGTTACACTAAAATCAAATAGCAGGCATGTGACAAACACACGCACACAACCGTACAGTCGCTAATAGCTACTTACGCAGACGACACTGCGGTGCTTACCAGATGCAGAGATATCGATGTAGCTTCGGAAGCCTTACAGCAGTATGTAAGTAGTTTCGAGAAGTGGGCTCTGAATTGGAACATTGGTATCAACGCCAGCAAGTGTGCGAATGTCACATTTACAACAAGGCCGTCGTCATGCAGAGATATCACAATGTTGGGGTCCACGCTCAGTCATACAAATTCGCACAAATATCTTGGTGTCATTCTGGACAGAAGACTCAACTTCAGCAAGCATACAACAATGGTCAAGCGATCGATCATGGCAAAAGCCGGAAAGATGGCATGGCTGCTTGCACCCTGCAACAAGCTGTCTCTGCACAGTAAGGTGACAGTATACAAGTCCATATTAAGTCCAATATGGAAGTATGCGCTACCAATTTATGGCATTGCCGCTGCATCGAACCTAAACAAAATAAGAGTTGCGCAAGCTAAAATACTCAGAAAAATATGCAACGCTCCCTGGTATATGCGCACTAGGGACATCGAAAGAGACTTATGTGTCCCCAAGGTTGGCGATGTCATTCAAATGCACGCAAGCAATTACGAGAAGCGACTCGGCAGTCACCCCAACGCACTAGCGAGGCGGCTCCTGTCCAAACCT